TATCCATTGTGCCACAGTGCACTCACAAGCTAGTTGATTCAAAATCATGTGGACGCATCTCAGAGTAATCCTCACAAGTTTCTCATCGCTGAAAATAGCCAATTCCTTAGCTAGTTCTTTTTATTAGTACCACTGGGAAAAGTTCTGCTCCAATTGTCACAAGCCAATGCATGTCATTTGATTGAAAGGGGCGGGAAACTATGGATTAGAAGGAAGTCAAGTTATCACTGCGGTAAGCCTATCTGACTCTAGTGGGGCTGAGACCCTCAGCTTAAGAGAAACTCATCAAAATCAAATAGAGGTCTAATGCACAATCCATCACACAGAGTCATCACACACCAGCTGATTCAAGTGGTCACAGAAAGTTCCTTCAGCAATCCTTGGAAATTAAATATATAGAACTTTATCAATTCCTTGTTTGCCTGACTTCTACTGTGCATGTTCTGTTGACCGTCCCTACAAAAGTGAAGAGGTTCAACAGGGTTGAGAATATGGATGCGTGAAGAAGTTCTGCAATGACAGGAATTAAAGGGTATGCAATTGCAAACCAATGCGACTCTGGTGGGACTCGAACCCACAACCTTTGAATTACTCATTAAACTCAACTAGAAGTCCAATGCGCTCTCCATTGCGCCACAGAGCCAGAAAAAAGCTAATAGTTTCATTGACTTCAGAAACGTCTGGCAGCAATGCACTCAAATCAAGAGTCATTGAAAATTGTCCATAACATTTTTTGTAGTTTACATCAATTGCACAGGGAAACAGTTTCACTGCTGTAAGGCAATGCATGTTTGGTGGGACTCAGAATCTCAGCCTTTAAACTACTCATCATACTCAATGAGATGGACTCAAACGCACAACTTCTGAAGTGCTCATCAACCTTATCAAGATATCCATTGTGCCACAGTGCACTCACAAGCTAGTTGATTCAAAATCATGTGGACGCGTCTCAGAGTAATCCTCACAAGTTTCTTATCACTGAAAATAGCCAATTCCTTAGCTAGTTCTTTTTATTAGTACCACTGGGAAAAGTTCTGCTCCAATTTCCACAAGCCAATGCATGTTGTTTGATTGAAAGGGCGGAAACTATGGATTAGAAGGAAGTCAAGTTATCACTGCGGTAAGCCTGTCTGACTCTGGTGGGGCTGAGACCCTCAGCTTAAGAGAAACTCATCAAAATCAAATAGAGGTCTAATGCACAATCCATCACACAGAGTCATCACACACCAGCTGATTCAAGTGGTCACAGAAAGTTCCTTCAGCAATCCTTGGAAATTAAATATATAGAACTTTATCAATTCCTTGTTTGCCTGACTTCTACTGTGCATGTTCTGTTGACCGTCCCTACAAAAGTGAAGAGGTTCAACAGGGTTGAGAATATGGATGGTGAAGAAGTTCGGCAATGACAGGAATTAAAGGGTATGCAATTGCAAACCAATGCGACTCTGGTGGGACTCGAACCCACAACCTTTGAATTACTCATTAAACTCAACTAGAAGTCCAATGCGCTCTCCATTGCACCACAGAGCCAGAAAAAGCTAGATAGTTTCATTGACTTCAGAAACGTCTGGCAAAAATGCACTCAAATCTAGAGTCATTGAAAATTGTCCATAACATTTTTTGTAGTTTACATCAATTGCACAGGGAAACAGTTTCACTGCTGTAAGGCAATGCATGTTTGGTGGGACTCAGAATCTCAGCCTTTAAACTACTCATCATACTCAATGAGATGGACTCAAACGCACAACTTCTGAAGTGCTCATCAACCTTATCAAGATATCCATTGTGCCACAGTGCACTCACAAGCTAGTTGATTCAAAATCATGTGGACGCGTCTCAGAGTAATCCTCACAAGTTTCTTATCACTGAAAATAGCCAATTCCTTAGCTAGTTCTTTTTATTACTACCACTGGGAAAGTTTCTGCTCCAATTCTCACAAGCCAATGCATGTTGTTTGATTGAAAGGGGCGGAAAGCTATGGATTAGAAGGAAGTCAAGTTATCACTGCGGTAAGCCTATCTGACTCTGGTGGGGCTGAGACCCTCAGCTTAAGAGAAACTCATCAAAATCAAATAGAGGTCTAATGCACAATCCATCACACAGAGTCATCACACACCAGCTGATTCAAGTGGTCACAGAAAGTTCCTTCAGCAATCCTTGGAAATTAAGTATTTAGAACTTTATCAATTGCTTGTTTGCATGACTTCTACTGTGCATGTTCAATTGACCGTCCCTACAAAAGTGAAGAGGTTAAACAGGGTTTAGAAAATGGATGGGTGAAGAAGTTCTGTAATGACAGGAATTAAAGGGTATGCAATTGCAAACCAATGCGACTCTGGTGGGACTCAAACCCACAACCTTTGAATTACTCATTAAACTCAACTAGAAGTCCAATGCGCTCTCCATTGCAGCACAGAGCCAGAAAAATCTAATTAGTTTCATTGACTTCAGAAACGTCTGGCAGGAATGCACTCAAATCAAGAGTCATTGAAAATTGTTAATAACATTTTTTGTAGTTTACATCAATTGCACAGGGAAACAGTTTCACTGCTGTAAGCCAGTGCGTGTTTGGTGGGACTCAGAACCTCAGCCTTTATACTACTCATCATACTCAATGAGATGGACTCAAACGCACAACTTCTGAAGTGCTCATCAACCTTATCAAGATATCCATTGTGCCACAGTGCACTCACAAGCTAGTTGATTCAAAATCATGTGGACGCGTCTCAGAGTAATCCTCACAAGTTTCTTATCACTGAAAATAGCCAATTCCTTAGCTAGTTCTTTTTATTACTACCACTGGGAAAGTTTCTGCTCCAATTCTCACAAGCCAATGCATGTTGTTTGATTGAAAGGGGCGGGAAGCTATGGATTAGAAGGAAGTCAAGTTATCACTGCGGTGAGCCTATCTGACTCTAGTGGGGCTGAAACCCTCAGCTTAAGAGAAACTCATCAAAATCAAATAGAGGTCTAATGCACAATCCATCACACAGATTCATCACACACCAGCTGATTCAAGTGGTCACAGAAAGTTCCTTCAGCAGTCCTTGGAAATTTAGTATTTAGAACTTTATCAATTGCTTGTTTGCATGACTTCTACTGTGCATGTTCAATTGACCGTCCCACAAAAGTGAAGAGGTTCAACAGGGTTTAACAAATGGATGGTGAAGAAGTTCTGCAATGACAGGAATTAAAGGGTATGCAATTGCAAACCAATGCGACTCTGGTGGGACTCAAACCCACAACCTTTGAATTACTCATTAAACTCAACTAGAAGTCCAATGCGCGCTCCATTGCGCCCACAGAGCCAGAAAAAAATCTAATTAGTTTCATTGACTTCAGAAACGTCTGGCAGGAATGCACTCAAATCAAGAGTCATTGAAAATTGTTAATAACATTTTTTGTAGTTTACATCAATTGCACAGGGAAATAGTTTCACTGCTGTAAGGCAATGCATGTTTGGTGGGACTCAGAATCTCAGCCTTTAAACTACTCATCATACTCAATGAGATGGACTCAAATGCACAACTTCTGAAGTGCTCATCAATCTTATCAAGATATCCATTGTGCCACAGTGCACTCACAAGCTAGTTGATTCAAAATCATGTGGACGCGTCTCAGAGTAATCCTCACAAGTTTCTTATCACTGAAAATAGCCAATTCCTTAGCTAGTTCTTTTTATTACTACCACTGGGAAAAGTTCTGCTCCAATTGTCACAAGCCAATGCATGTTGTTTGATTGAAAGGGGCGGAAACTATGGATTAGAAGGAAGTCAAGTTATCACTGCGGTAAGCCTATCTGACTCTAGTGGGGCTGAAACCCTCAGCTTAAGAGAAACTCATCAAAATCAAATAGAGGTCTAATGCACAATCCATCACACAGAGTCATCACACACCAGCTGATTCAAGTGGTCACAGAAAGTTCCTTCAGCAATCCTTGGAAATTAAATATTTAGAACTTTATCAATTCCTTGTTTGCCTGACTTCTACTGTGCATGTTCTGTTGACCGTCCCTACAAAAGTGAAGAGGTTCAACAGGGTTGAGAATATGGATGCGTGAAGAAGTTCTGCAATGACAGGAATTAAAGGGTATGCAATTGCAAACCAATGCAACTCTGGTGGGACTCAAACCCACAACCTTTGAATTACTCATTAAACTCAACTAGAAGTCCAATGCGCTCTCCATTGCGCCACAGAGCCAGAAAAATCTAATTGTTTTCATTGACTTCAGAAACGTCTGGCAGGAATGTACTCAAATCAATAGTCATTGAAAATTGTTAATAACATTTTTTGTAGTTTACATCAATTGCACAGGGAAATAGTTTCACTGCTGTAAGGCAATGCATGTTTGGTGGGACTCAGAACCTCAGCCTTTAAACTACTCATCATACTCAATGAGATGGACTCAAATGCACAACTTCTGAAGTGCTCATCAACCTTATCAAGATATCCATTGTGCCACAGTGCACTCACAAGCTAGTTGATTCAAAATCATGTGGACGCCCTCAGAGTAATCCTCACAAGTTTCTTATCACTGAAAATAGCCAATTCCTTAGCTAGTTCTTTTTTTATTACTACCACTGGGAAAGTTTCTGCTCCAATTCTCACAAGCCAATGCATGTTGTTTGATTGAAAGGGCGGAAACTATGGATTAGAAGGAAGTCAAGTTATCACTGCGGTGTAAGCCTATCTGACTCTAGTGGGGCTGAAACCCTCAGCTTAAGAGAAACTCATCAAAATCAAATAGAGGTCTAATGCACAATCCATCACACAGAGTCATCACACACCAGCTGATTCAAGTGGTCACAGAAAGTTCCTTCAGCAATCCTTGGAAATTAAATATTTAGAACTTTATCAATTGCTTGTTTGCCTGACTTCTACTGTGCATGTTCTGTTGACCGTCCCAAAAAGTGAAAGGTTCAACAGGGTTTAACAAATGGATGGAGGTGAAGAAGTTCTGCAATGACAGGAATTAAAGGGTATGCAATTGCAAACCAATGCGACTCTGGTGGGACTCAAACCCACAACCTTTTGAATTACTCATTAAACTCAACTAGAAGTCCAATGCGCCTCCATTGGGCCACAGAGCCAGAAAAATCTAGTTAGTTTCATTGACTTCAGAAACGTCTGGCAGGAATGCACTCAAATCAAGAGTCATTGAAAATTGTCCATAACATTTTTGTAGTTTACATCAATTGCACAGGGAAACAGTTTCACTGCTGTAAGGCAATGCATGTTTGGTGGGACTCAGAATCTCAGCCTTTAAACTACTCATCATACTCAATGAGATGGACTCAAACGCACAACTTCTGAAGTGCTCATCAACCTTATCAAGATATCCATTGTGCCACAGTGCACTCACAAGCTAGTTGATTCAAGATCATGTGGACGCGTCTCAGAGTAATCCTCACAAGTTTCTTATCGCTGAAAATAGCCAATTCCTTAGCTAGTTCTTTTTATTAGTACCACTGGGAAAAGTTCTGCTCCAATCGTCACAAGCCAATGCATGTCATTTGATTGAAAGGGGCGGGAAACTATGGATTAGAAGGAAGTCAAGTTATCGCTGTGGTAAGCCTATCTGACTCTGGTTGGGCTGAGACCCTCAGCTTAAGAGAAACTCATCAAAATTAAATAGAGGTCTAATGCACAATCCATCACACAGAGTCATCACACACCAGCTGATTCAAGTGGTCACAGAAAGTTCCTTCAGCAATCCTTGGAAATTAAATATTTAGAACTTTATCAATTCCTTGTTTGCCTGACTTCTACTGTGCATGTTCTGTTGACCGTCCCTACAAAAGTGAAGAGGTTCAACAGGGTTGAGAATATGGATGGGTGAAGAAGTTCTGCAATGACAGGAATTAAAGGGTATGCAATTGCAAACCAATGCAACTCTGGTGGGACTCAAACCCACAACCTTTGAATTACTCATTAAACTCAACTAGAAGTCCAATGCGCTCTCCATTGCGCCACAGAGCCAGAAAAAGCTAGATAGTTTCATTGACTTCAGAAACGTCCGACAGCAATGCACTCAAATCAAGAGTCATTGAAAATTGTACATAACATTTTTTGTAGTTTACATCAATTGCACAGGGAAACAGTTTCACTGCTGTAAGGCAATGCATGTTTGGTGGGACTCAGAATCTCAGCCTTTAAACTACTCATCATACTCAATGAGATGGACTCAAACGCACAACTTCTGAAGTGCTCATCAACCTTATCAAGATATCCATTGTGCCACAGTGCACTCACAAGCTAGTTGATTCAAAATCATGTGGACGCGTCTCAAAGTAATCCTCACAAGTTTCTTATCACTGAAAATAGCCAATTCCTTAGCTAGTTCTTTTTATTAGTACCACTGGGAAAAGTTCTGCTCCAATCGTCACAAGCCAATGCATGTCATTTGATTGAAAGGGGCGGGATGACATAGGTAAGGGTAGGTTTGAGGTCCTGTAAGGCGAATTTGTGGAATTAGCTGAGAAGCTTAGGAGCAGATCCTCAACGGTAGTGCTCTCCGGGATTCTACCGTACCACGGCAAGCAGAGGAAAGCAGAATTTTATCTGGAGGTTTAACACGTGGCTACAACCTGGTGTAGGAAAGAGGGGTACAAGGTTTATGGGGCACTGGAACTTTTTCTGGGACAGGGGTGACCTGTTCAAGCCTGACGGGCTGCACCTGAACTGGAGCGGTACCTTTGCACTGGGTCAGCGTATGCTGAGGGTAGCACAGGATTATTTAAACTAGGGACTTGGGGGGCAGGAGGTTAGTGAGTGTTACACATAGGGAATGCAGACTGCCCTGATGGAAGCTGACGGGCGTTATATACACTATTGATGATATACTTTTAAAAGCAACAAAGCATAGTGGAGTTTGAAGCAGCAGCCGATGGGAAATCAAGGGGAAGAGCATTAGTAATAACCTGAAATGTTTTTATTTAAATGCAAGAAGCATAAAAAATAAATTTCCAGAACTTGAGGCCAAGTATGATTAGTGAGGGCTATGACATAGTTGGGATTACAGAGACATGGCTTAGTGAAGAGGATGGAGATGAATATAATATAGAAGGTGATAAGCTCTTTTGGAAGGATAGATGTAATAGGCGAGGAGGGGGCGTAGCAATCTATGTGAACGAAAACATAAATGTACAGGAAACTCCTGAAATTGAACATTTCTTGCCCTGTGAAGATATCTGGGTCAGGCTCATTGGCAAACACGAGACAGGTTTAAACATAGGAGTATGCTATCGGCCACCAGCTTTGGACAGTATAGTCAATGAAATGCTTTTTAAGAGGATTACGCAAGCTTGTAGAGGTGGAGGGACTATTATTATGGGAGACTTAAATTATCCTGGTATCGATTGGGGAATGGTGAAAGGACAGGGTAGGGGGGAGGAAGAATTTCTAGATGTTATAAATGATAATTTTTTGGTGCAGTATGTTAATAAACCGACAAGAGAGAAGGCAATTTTAGACTTAGTGCTCTGTAATGACCCAGATGGAATTAGCAATGCTGAGGTACTGGAGCCACTTGGGACAAGTGATCACTCTGCTGTTAATTTTGATGTTTTCATGGGAAGTTAAAAGGTGTATTCAAAACAAAAATTTTCAATTTTAGGGCGAGCAAACTTCACACGATACGCTCATATCTAAGTAAAATAAAATGGGAGACACTCCTGGACTGTGAGTCTGTAAATGAGATGTGGGAAAGATTTAAGGGGTTTTTACTTGATTCACAATGCAAATTCATTCCAAAGGTGTCCAAAAAAAGTAAGCTGAAAAAGCAGAATCCTCAGTGGATGACCAAAAAAGTATTCGTAGGATTTTGAGGGAAAAGAGGAATCTTTTATAAGATGTACATAAAGGATAACAATGAGAACACTAAGGCTGAATACTGTAAAATGCGGGCTGTGGTCAAAAAGAGCTGAGGAATGCTAGAAGACTGTATGAAAGGCAAATTGCAGAGGGGCAAAAAAACTAACCCTAAGCGCTTCTTTCAGTACTGTAGCAGAAAAAGGAAAGTCAAAGAGCAGGTTAAGTGCATAAAGAATAAAAATGGATCGCTGCTATATGATAACAAGGATATTGCGGATGCCTTAAACAGTTACTTTGTTGAGAATTTTACCTCAGAGTGGGTCTTTATTTGGCCAGAGGACATGTTAAATGCTCAAGATTATTTAGCGGAAATTGAGGTTAGGGATAGCGAAGTATTAGACAAGTTGCATAAACTAAAGGCAGATAAGGCGGCGGGTCCTGATGGCTTATATCCTAGAGTGCTCAGGGAAGTTGGTTAGATCATCTTTAAGCCGCTATCCGCCATCTTCAGACGGTCTTTAGAAACTGGAGAAATACCAAATGTGTTAGGTACGGTTCTGGAACCAGACGCGAGAGTCGAGCAGTGAAGGTAAAATGGGATTTTATTTGGAAAGGGGGCGAACCCCCGCAGAGCAGGAGGCAACGGTACAAAGTCCACAATCCAAAAATCAAAATCCAGGAGGGCGAAATCCAAATCGTAACCAGGCACCAATCACAAAAACTCAAAGTCGGGCAAAAAAGGGTTCAAAAACAGATACAGACAAAAGTACAAAAGAGCAGATCCAAAAAATCGTAGGTCGGGCAGTCCAGTCAGAAGATAAACACAGAGAGTACAAGGCGAAATGAAAGCAGCACAGGTAAACTTGGAAAAACATTCTGACGGGGAACTGCAGTGAGAAGACAGCTTAAATACATTCAAGGGAAGTCACATGCTATGATTAGGATCGGGTGAAGGGGATCAGACTAATTACAAAGGAGGGAAATATGAGGAGAACCTAATCACATGAAATTGGCAAAAGCCAAAAAACGCGGACAGGGAACACGAGACAACCTATGACAAAACATACAGCTCCGTTAGGGAGTTCTAATGTGCACAGATAATGAGAGGTAGGATAGAGTGGAGCAGGTGCGGAGGATCCGCTGAATTGCAGGAGAGACAAAGTGAAGGCAAGAGGCGGAGACTAGAACAGGGCGAAAAGGAGAGCTAGTTAATCAATTAGTAAGTGCAGCTATACAATCCCTAGTGCTCGTTAGTAAGTTAGTATTATATACAATGTTAGTTTGGGTTAGTAACTTTAACAAAAACAACAAACTGTTAGTATTGGTTAGTAATATAGAAAAGAGAGGCGAAGGAAGCAAACGAGATTGGAAGGAATGTTTGAAAACCCAGAAACCATGGAATCACCTAAGCATGTGACACGAGGACTGGGGGAAAGCTGTAACTTAACAAGAGACCAGACAGGGGAGACAAAGTGCAATGCTGGGCATGAATAAAACATGGACCGGACTCTAACAGAAAAGTGGAAGGGGATGGCAAAAACGAAAACATGGCAAAATGCAAAAACTAAACAGAACATGGCAAAACCTAACAGAACTGATCATAAACATAACAGGGAATGGCAGAAACATAATAAGCATGGCAGAAACAAGACAGAACAGAGCAGAATCATAACAGTACCCCCTCCTATGAAACGCCCAGGCGTTTCAACTTGGCTGGTCTGGGGTGCGAAGCATGAAAGTCTGTGATTAGGCTTTTGTCGAGGATGTGGCGTGCAGGGATCCAGCTACGGTGTTCAGGACCGTGAGTCTCCCAGTCGACGAGGTACTGGTATCCGCGACCGCCGACGACAGTCCAACAATGTTCCGACAGTGAATGCCTCGCCTCCGCCGATGATGCGGGCGGTGGTGGGGGATCAGGACCAGAAGACAGGGGGTGGGTTACAGCAGGCTTGATCTGGGGGACACATGAAAGGTAGGGTGAATACGGGCGCATGGAAAGGGGCAGACGGAGGCGAACAGCAGTGGGGGCTAAACACTTTTTCTATGGTAAAGGCCAAGGAACTTTGGGAACAATTTTCCCCACCCCCCTCAAGGAATGTCCCTGAGGACAGGCCAAACGCGCTGCCCAGGTCGGCAAGATGGGGCAGCGATGCGTTCTTGTCTGCTCGGGCTTTCATCCGGGCAACCCACCTGAGCAGCGCCTCCCTTAGTGGTCCTCCTGGCAGCGCTCTGCAGCGGCGCGACAAACGCACGGGCTGATGGAACAGCAACTTCCTCC